TTTAACTGAAGCTCCCTCTTCTCAGGTGGACTCTAGCTCCTGTCAAGCTGGCAAAACCTACCAGACCTGTCGATGTCTTCCCGTGTTCCGGAGGTCACCTGGACTTCAGTGATCCTTCGTATCTGGCAGGGTTAGTACTGTCTTGGTTCTCCCATTTTCACACACTAGTGAACACATTTTAGCAATTCTATGAGACAAAGTTTATTGGTATTTTCAGAGTGCATCAAACTTGCACATTTACTTGGTGAGAATTAGCATCTTCATGGTGTTGACCTGAGCGACCCAGATACAAGGGTGATACCAATCATCTTGCTTCTGTCTCCCAAAAGCACTGTACATTTTCCCATTTGCGGTTTTTGTTTTTTTCTTTTTCTTTCCTATATGGGGAATTAAACTCAGAGATTTGCATATCTTTGGCAAGTTCCCCACAGCTAAGACTCACACTCAGTCTTTTTTGTTGTTTGGAGAGAAGCTCTCACAATTTGTTCCAGCTGGCCTTGAACTCAGTTCTGACGACTCAACAGGCCTTGAATTTGCTTCTCCCCAGCCTCCTGATTAGCTAGAATCACAGGGCCAGGGATTTCTCTCTTTCCTGATGGTTTAACCTTCTCTGAGGCTCTTCTATCCAATTTTCCTCTGTGTCCTTTAACACTACATGGTATTTGTACTTTAAAAGGTCGAGAGAGAGAGAGAGAGAGAGAGAGAGAGAGAGAGAGAGAGAGAGAGAGAGATGCTCTATTACTGTGGCAGTACTTTTCAATATCAGAAATTCTAGGGCTATCACCACATCATCTGCCAATGGGAAGAATGCATAGCCATCCTTGAAGCCTGCCTTTTCTAGTCTGATTACAGTGGCTAGCAATGATACTATTAGTAGGCACATGTGATGCTTTGAATGAGAAATGCCTCCCAAAGGCTCACGTCTCTGAACGCTTGGCCCCTGGTTGGTGGCACTTTGGGCCAGCTATGGAACCTTAGAGGTGCAGCCTTGCTGGAAGAAGTTCATCCCTGGGGGTGAGCTGAGAGAGTTTACAGCCTTCCCCCACTTCCAGTCTGCCGTCTCTGCTTTGTTTACATTTGAAGATGTGTTCTCCAGGCTTCTTGCTCCAGCTGCCATGCCTCTCCAATATTGCAGGCTCTCCCTTCTCTCTTCTGTAGGTCATTTCTAGTCATAGTGTTTTATTACAGCAATGAAAAGTAGTCAATATACCATACTAATTTTGCTCCAGATAATACTAGATGTTTCTTCTGACTATAATGTTTCTCTCACTAAAATAATAACTTTAAGGCTTGGTTGATTATACATATCATATATCCATTAGGAAGGTGCTAATCAATGCTTACATTCTTTAATATTTTAAAGTCATGAAGAGGTACCTAATTTTAGTGGAAACAATTTATTAATATTGAATTTCTTAGCAGATTTCTTATTATTAATCCAGCATCACCTCCTCGAATATTCCACTTAGTCATAGTATCTTACTGTCTTTACACAGAATTAGAGTCCATCTGCTATTACATATTCTACATGATGCTGTTTTATCAATGTTTTGCATTTGCATTTATAAACATTTTTTGTTCTCTCATCATAGCAGAGACAGATTAAGTGTCCAGGTTCTACTTGAAAGGGAATTGTGTGTGTATGTGTGTGTGTGTGTGTGTGTATCTGTGAATGTGTGTGTGAGTGTGTCTGTGAATATATGTGGTGTGTGTCCATGTGTGTCTATGTAAACAGGCAAATCAATAGGAACAGGAAGTGGGGTCTGTGTGGATGAAGTGGATAGCCAGGGCAGGGGAGGAGTGGGTGGGGTAACCTGGAAGGGTACACCTTGTTCCCACCCCTCCCACACTGTTTCTGGGTTTCACTGCCAGATTCCATTAGGGCCTCCCCACATGGTGCTCTGCTTCATTTCCTGCCTAGGAGTGGAGGAACGAAGCCAGCTGAGTATAGTCTGAAACTGTGAACCCAAACAAATCAGCTACCGGGCATAGTAACAATGTTTCTGTGAGGATGTGGAGAAAATGGAAACTGCATTCTTTGCTGGTGGGATTGCAATATGGTGTGGCCACTTTGTAATACAATTTACCTATTTTCAAAATGTTAGTCACTATGTTGGTGAGTTCAAGGCCAGCCTGGGCTACCTAACGCCCTGTCTCAAAACAAACAAAACCCTCAAACATTAGTATTCATTAAACAGTAATACTCCTCCCCTGAGCCCCAGATGATGACCATTCTAGTCCTGTCTCTATGAATTAACTACTCTAAGTACCTCATGAATGAAACTGTGCAGTACTTTTGTGGCTATCTTGAAATTAATCCAGACTGACATGTGTCAAAATTCTCTTCCATTTTAATGGGGCATAGTGTGTTCCTGTGTAATTATGCCACACTGGGCTTATTCATTCATCCTTAATGGACAAAGTATGTAATCCTATAGTCCCACTGAATAGCTTCACTAGGTAACCTCGACTTTCTCTCTCTCTCTCAAATATATGGGTTGGTTTGTTTTTGTTGTTTGTTTTGAGACTGTGTTTCTGTGTCACTCTGGCTGTCCTGGAACTCACTCTGTAGATCAAGATCTCAAGAGATCTGCCTGTTTCTGCCTCCCAAGTGCTGGAATTAAAGGCAGCACTCTATAATTTTTAATGAATGTTAATTGCCTATGTTACTTAAAGCATATTGAGAGGGGTTGACAAATTATACCCAGAAGACCTATTGGTTCCACTGCTTGTTGTTATCTATAAAGTTTCATTGATAAAATTCACACTCATTTATTTATCTACTTATCTATGGCTGTTTGCATGCCACAGCAGCAGAACTGAATAGTTGTAACATCAATTATAGCAAAGCCTAAAACATCCACTACTTGGCCTTTTAAGTAAATATATGGTCTTTCCAGAGCTATCATAACAAATAGACCTCCACATTAATAAAGTGAAAATGCAAGCTTGTTTTTTTTTTCTTTCGTGGCATCTTACTTGGGGTTTTATTGCTATGGAGAGACACCACAACCATGGCAACATTTAATTATGGCTTACAGTTTCAGAGGTTTAGTCTATTGTCATCATGGTGGGAAGCATGGTAGCAGGCAGGCAAGACATAGTGCTAGAAAATGAGTTTGAGAGTTCTACACCTGGATCTGCAGGCAGCAGGAAAAGAGAGACCCTGGGCTTGGCTTGAGCATTTGAGACCTCAAAGCCCACCCCCAGTGACACATTTCCTCCAGCAAGGCCACACCTACTCCAACAAGGCCACACCTCCCTATGAACCTGTGGGAGCCATCTTCATTCAAAACCCACACATAGCTAAGCAGCTTCTCTCCTTGCTTGATGCTTGAGCACAGGATGCCTCCATCCTGTGGTTTAGCGATGCCTGGGATCTCTGCCTATTTTGCCTTGAGCTGATAGAAGGGGGGAGAGTCCCTGCAGGAGACTTCTCTTCTTCTTCCCTCTACCTCCTTAGGCCTGGCTCAGATGGACCACATATGATTCGCTCATGATCCTCTAGGTGACAGCTCTAAGCCCCAAACCTCAGTGGGTATAGTTGCCTCTGCCATACCAGTGCCAAGCAAAGAAGCAGCAAATGGGGGAGGACAGCCATGCATGTGTAGGTAGGTGGCTTTTCCAGCTTGGAGAAGGCCAGATAAAGCGCTGTGCTGGTCGTATGCCAACACAAGCAAGCCCTCCTGAAACAATGAGCTAGGTGTGTTTGACTGGTACCAGCTGCCACACTTATGAATAGGCCTTGTACAGGGCTACATGACATCACCTTTACGTATCAGTTACTTTTTTATTACTGTGATAAAACAAGCAACTTGTAGAAGGAAGGGTTTGTTTGGGCTCACAGTTCCAGAGGATACAAATCCGTCAAGGTAGGGAGGCATGGCAACAAGTTACAGGCGTGGCTGCAGGAACAGGAAGCTAAGAGCTCATACCCTCATCCACAAGCCCAAAGCAGAAAGAGCAAACTGGAAGTAGGGGGCATTGTAAATCTCAAAGCCCACCCCTAGTGATGTACTTCCTCCAGCAAGGCTGTGCTAACCTAGTCCTCCCCAGGCAACACCACCAGCCGGAGACCAGGTGTTCAAATGCCCAAGACTCATTTAAATCATACTCTTCAGCACCCCCCATGGGGTTACACACTGTGAAGATCCCAGCCTTAGGACACAGTCAGATCAGCTTCCTGCCAAACACGCTCTAACATTTGTCTATGAAGAATCACCTTCTTTGGCTCCACAATCTTCGGGGGACAACAAAGCCCCCCCCCTTTTAAAGTGGTATAGCATTTCATACAGCCCATGCATAGCTTTCTATGCATTAGTCACCTTTAGATCATTACAGCACCTGTTGTGATTGGAGCACCATGTGAATAAATGTTATACTGCATTGTTTGGGAAACAAAAGGCACATTTTCAGTGCAAAAAAAATCAACTTCTAAATATTTGCAACCCATGATTGGTTGAATCACAAGTGCAAAACCCATGGATACAAAGGGCTGGCAGCATACACTTTCTCTTACATTTCTTAAGATTTCAAAAAGTTCATACCACTGCCCTCGCCTCCAAAGTAACAAATAAAACTAAACCTGACCTAAAATTCTTTCCACTCTGTGGTGTGTGAGTGAAAAATGTCTCCCATGGGTTCCTGTGTTTGAACATTTAGTGGTGCCATTTGGCAGGTTATGGAACCTTTAGGAGGCACAGAGGAGAAGGATGCCAGTGGGCTCCTCCCCCCTCTCTCCATCTGTCGGTCTGACCCCATGCTCCTGACACCATGCCTTCCTTGTCATGAGAGACTCTCTCCCTCTGGAACCATAATCCAAAAATAACCCCCTTCTCCTCAGAGTTTCCTTTTGTTAGAGTATTCCATGACAGTAACCGCAAAGTGACCAATACCCACACCCTGGAACAATGGATGGCCCCCCACTTGCTAAACACAGACAGAAATGATCCATTACTATAACTTTGCTATCTGAAACAAACAGGCTATTCTGGGTTTTTCTCTATTTTTATTAATTACAAAGTCATATCTCATAAAGTTACCTGCCAAACACAGATATCAATGAGTGGGGATGAAAAAAAAAAAACCGAAAAGTCCCCAAGCCATATACTCAAAGCCTGGGATTACAGCCAGCCAACCGCAAAGGCTGAAGTAGAGGGAGACAGGTGTTGGAGATGACTAGTACTGTGAGGTCACATGGTCTGATCTCTTTGGTTCTTCACTGGCAAGACCATGGCCCACAGCCTTCAATACAAGAGCTGGTATACTGTGGCATTTTCCTTGGAACCAGTGACCAGATACTGACTATCAGCAGACAAGTCACAGCATAGAATGTCATAACACTCCTCCGTCTAGAAAAAAAATGTGAAGAATATGAAGACTTGGGGCTTGAACCAGACATGAGGACTTCATGTTTCAAGGGTTATGTAGACGCAAGGCTTCACTGAGTCATGGACAAATCTCAAAGTGAAGACCATGGGTTTACAGGGTAAGTCCTCAGTCCTGACCGCCATAAAATGTTGTCTCAGTGGTATTTCCCTGTTCTCTCTGGGACCCATCAAGTAGGGATCTGGAGCCACAAGATCTGAGTGTTTTAGTCTGTACAGCCACCCCCACTCCCCACCTCCATACCTGGAACAACCTTCGTAGAGAAGGTGCCGCTAAACAGTGGATCATATCATCCAGCGTGGCCACAAAATGGGTCCCTGGCAAAGGGAAGAACAGACGGAGAGGTCAGAAACTGAGCCTGTGTTCTCTATCCAGTTGTCCTCAAGTAGACTAGGGGGAGAGCAACTATCTTCTCTGCCTAGGTGTCCCTGCTCTATAAAAATCAGATGCATGGCCCAAACCATCCCTTCATCTGCTGTCGCTAGAAAAACACCCAGGACACGGTGAGTCATCACTGAACAAGAGGCCCATGAGATGGACTCCTGCCACTTCTGCCTTCCTGTACCTTCAGGCTTCATTCCGCACGGAAGCCTTTGTAGTAGAGGGGAGAATAACAAAAGGGGTGGGGAGAAAGATGGTAGGAACCCTTGGGGGTCACCCGGCTTCTAACTCACCACAAGAGGCGAACTTGAGGTTGTGGTGTTGTGTATATCTTTGGACAATGGCTCTATACTTCTCCTCCCGGTGAGCGTGTAGGATGACAATGTCACTCATTTTCAAGCCCGCTAGCACCCATTCCTCACTGGGGTCGTGGGTAATGCTAAGGATCTGTGGGAAGCTTGGGTCAGCATTCAGAATTGCTAGTGCCCCTGTTCAAGCCCTGGCCTCAAATTCACACTCAGCACCTCCTCCCCACATCCATGCCCCCGCCCTAGAGGTGAACTTAATCCTGAAGACAACCAAACAGGCACCTCATGGCATAAGTTGTGCTGTTGCAGCTTCTGGTAGCTCCTCATGTCCCACGAATACAGGGTGGTGTCTTCACCACCTGTCCAGAACTTAAAACCCGTGATGTCCACGCAGCGGGACCCATAGGGAGGAACTTCATGTTTCCTGGTGGAAAAATGACTCAGAGGTCTTTTTGTTTGTTTGTTTGTTTGGTTTGGTTTTGGTTTTTCGAGACAGGGTTTCTCTGTGGCTTGGAGGCTCTCCTGGAACTAGCTCTTGTAGACCAGGCTGGTCTCGAACTCACAGAGATCCACCTGCCTCTGCCCCCCCCCAGTGCTGGGACTAAAGGCATGTGCCACCACTGCCCAGCTACTCAGAGGTCTTTGGAAAGGTCTTCCCCCAACCTTGGGCCAGAATGTGAAAGGGTTAGAAGTCCAGTGTTGGTTAGGAAGTGCCGGGCTGGAAAGTGCATGGTTAGCAAGTACAGGCTTAGGAAGCCCCTAGATGTACCTTCCAGGCTGTTTGGCATAGCCCTACTGCCAAGAGGGGAGAGTGGGGTCTCATTCTCAAGCCCTTCCTAAGGCTCTGGAGGAAGGTCCTACCTGATCAAGATTTGGTTCTGCACATCCCAAATTTCCACGAATCCTTTGAAAGAAGCCAAGCAGATGTGGGCATCGGAAGAGAGGGCCAAGGAATAGCACATGGGGCCTGTGGAGGCCATCTGGGCCCTGATTTGGGGTGTGGGAGCCAGGTCCCAAAGAGTCAGAGCCCGGGCCATTCCCCCTGTGATCAGACTCTGCTCATCGGGGAACAGCTTGCAGGTAAGGACACGATTCCGAGGGTCCTGGAGAAGAGCACACACTGTCAATGCATGGCAGTGCTGAGGGTAGAGACCCTGTCTGACCTCCCTAACCCTGATTGAGAGCCCCTCACCTGAAAGTCCAGCTGGGCCTGAGGTGCTCTGTCTGAGGCGTGCAATGCATCTGCATCCCACACCCTGATGTAGCCAGTGCCACACGTGTACACATGGTGTGGAGCACTGCTGATGGCAATAGCATTCACTCGCTTCCCATGGCGGAGACTGCCAACCCTCCAGGACCCACGTGGGGACTTCCTCGTGACTACTGCCTCATCTGGGATCGGAGGCTGCGGAGACGACAGGACTGATCAACCAAGGTGGTGGCCTGCTCTGTCCCTACTCCCCAAATTTCTAAGCTTCTTTCTCATAACAGAGCTTGGTTCAGGGGTCCCCAAGTCACATCTCTTGTAGAAGTGACACCGTGGGCCAAAGGCCCTATTTATCAAATTGGCAGAACAAGGAGAACCGTCTCGTTAAGCGGGTGGCATTCCAGCCACCACGACCTAAGAGGAAGGGAATAGGGCATGCAAACACACCACTTCTTCATTGGAAGGTGGGCGGGGAAAAATGGATGACACCTGGGTGTCAGAAACACAACACTGAGGTACTTACAATGGTTTTGAGGAACGACCAGACTTCTCTGTTGAGAGAGGATGAAGAACAGAACTGGCCTGCAGGGAGACAGCCACACCCGCCTTTCATGGACCAGATAGCACAGCAACAATCACAAGGTCAGAAGGAGAAACCCCCCTCTTACACCAAACCAAGTACCTCATCCACCATCTGGATGCCATCTCGGGCCACTCCCTGTCCCTGACCACACTGTCACGGCCTACACTTACCAGTCATAGCTCCTGGTTGAAAGCTGTGACAGAGGAGAAAGAAGGACGAGACGGCGTGAAGGGCGGAGCTTTGTGTCGGGGCCCCTCCACCCAGGACAGTCCATCACCCACCAGCCTTGCTCACGACAGCCGTACCTTGAGCTGGTGCCTCCTTCTGTTTCCGCCTCTGAAAGCCACATGGGCTGGAGCCCAGATGTGTCCTGGGCCTGGGGACCCCACCACTGCTGGGTCATACTGTGCACTTCCTGGTAAACAGGGCCATGGTGCACCGAGGGACATGGGGGCAGCTGGGGCGTTCCCTGCGCACTGTCCATTTGGTGTTGTTCTTGTTGCCCATGACGAGAAGAAACACCTGAGCTTTCCGGCATCTTCTTTATCTCCTCTGTTTCATCATAAATCCTGAGTACCCTGAACGAGTCCTCTTTCTCTTCACTCATGGTCGTGGGTCAGTCAAGTAAAGGGACCGTCTGGCTCTAGGGACCCAGCGAACAGATCCTGGGTTCCCAGTTCATCCCAATCTCCTGTACTGTGAGAGAGAACAGAAAGGGGCTGGGAAACAGCTCCATCCACAAAGGCTTGTTGCGCAAACCTGAGACTTGGAGTGCAGATTCCCAGCTCCATGTAGAAAGCCAAACATGTACCTGCAATCCTAGTGCTAGGGAGGTGGAGGCAGGGAACCCCTGGGGCTTGCTGGCTAGCCACTCAACCTGAAATGGTAAGCTCCAGGTTTAGTGAGAGATCCTGTCTCACAAACATGAGTTAATTCAAAATAAAAATAAGGAGAAGGGCCAGGGAGATGGCCCCACAGACTGATGGACCAACTTCAGTCCTCAAACCTGTGTAAAGATCCAGACGTGGAAACACACATCTGTAATCTCAGCACTTCTACAAGATGGGAAGTGGAGACAGAATTATCCAGAAGCCTGAAGACCATGGAGTGTACAGGATAGCCACAGACACATAGAGACCCTGCCTCAAAATCCAGTGGAAGAGGAGAAATGACTCCTGGAAAGCTATCCTCTGTGTCACGTGCACACTCATATTCAAATGCACTCACACACTCACCCCAAAACACAGTTTTCAAAAAGGTGGACACTGATTAAGGAATACAGCTGACATCAACCTTTGACCCCCCCCACATGCACACACGTGCACACACCTACACACACACACCACACAGGAGCACATATACATACACGCAGACACAGAGGGAACAGAGGTAAATATCAGGTATACAGTGCAGAGTCAGTTTGGAATGTTCTGGAAACACCTCGTTGGATGTAAAGTCTCAAACGATAGACTGACAACTAACTTTTGCAGACATGGCTGTAGTTCAATGTAGACAAAATCAAACTCACCCTTTAATTTGGACACACCCATTTCAAATGTAGCTCATCCCTGATGTACCCAAAACCTGAATGCAACAGAAAATCCATGCAGAGACTGTGGGGCGCCTCACCCACTACAGAGGACAACATGGAGGAGCTTGGGGACATGAACTGAAATGTAAGATGCTCTGTCTGGTGACAACAGGATGCAGTGATGAAGACTTGGCCTGGCAGCGATTGGCATTTGCTGCACTCTGACACAATTCTAAGATGGGAACAGATTCACATCTGCAGGCTGTGGAACCCTGTCGAAGGCCGGTAGCAAATGATACATGGAAGACTGTCCTCAACCGCAGCCTGCGCAGAGGAACTTGTGAAATTAAGACAGGCCAGTGCCCTCTTTTTTTTTTTTTTTTTTTTTTGGTTTTTTGAGACAGGGTTTCTCTGTGGCTTTGGAGGCTGTCCTGGAACTCACTTGGTAGTCCAGGCTGGTCTCGAACTCACAGAGATCCGCCTGCCTCTGCCTCCCAAGTGCTGGGATTAAAGGCGTGTGCCACCAACACCCGGCCAATGCCCTCTTTAGAAAGATTCCAACAGCTAGCTCTAGAAATGTCCTTGGGAAAGCCCAGGCTTTTCTATTAAGGGAACCTAGCAGAAACCTCAGGGACATGGGTAGCCATGGAGAGGAATCTTCCTTTTAGAACAATGGTTTTGACAGCCAGGCTCACTCCATGGAGTCCACGAAAGGCTCTAGCAGAATGTGAGCAGAACCCCAGCAGCCTTTCTGTCTGGTTCTGAACTAACCGCTTTGCATCTAATTTTTCCTTGCCACCACACGCTCTATAGTTATGGTGGGGTGGTTGACCGTTGGTTTGGGGGGCTGCAGATCAAACCCAGGGCCTTCCTTGCACATGCTAGGCAAGCACTCTATCACTAAGTTGAATGCCCAGCCTTTCCGAACCATTTTATGGACATTGTTTTGAGGTAAGATCTCATTCTGTAGCCCAGGCTGGTGCAAACTTCTGACTATCCTCCTGCCTCAGCACACCAAGTGCTAGGATACATTTCAGAGATTAAAAAGAAAAGCCCAGAGCAAGTGAGCCCAGGTCCCAGGTCCGGGAACTAGGAAGCATGGAGCATCTCTCACTGTGTTCTGTCTGGCTCATTTCTTACCACCCGATAGAAGGAAGAAGGCAACACCCACCCTAAGAACCAAGGCACACATTCTCACCCCCACACCCACGAAGCTATCCTGTAGACACAATCGGAGATATACAAAACAATACCTGTACAAGTTGGAGCAAAACCCAAACACCACAGGTGAAGACTAGTGATGTATGTGTAGCACATCCCCACAGCGGGAATAGTATACAGTAGTTAAAAGAGAAAGGATATAGTCGTTGACATGGAACATTTCAAGGTATAATATTAGAGAAGGGAGTTACAAAGCTCACAACCATGTTCGAAATACATTAACTTTGTATAAGAAAGGAATGGAAATTGGAATTTATTTTCATATACATACAAGAGATTTAGAAATATAGCTGTGTTTCAAATACAGAAATTGAAAAATAGGAAAGAGGAGCCGGGCGGTGGTGGCGCACGCCTTTAATCCCAGCACTCGGGAGGCAGAGGCAGGCCGATCTCTGTGAGTTCAAGGCCGGGATGGACCGACAGCCTCCAAAACAGTACAGAGAAACCCTGTCTCATAAAAAAAAATAGGAAAGAGGAAGGTGTGTGTGGGAGAGAGAGGTTAGTTACAACAAGACCTGATACTGCTTTTTCTTCTTTGTAGATATTTCAACCCATATTAGAAACTGTTGAACCAGGAGCCAAATTTTCATCTTCCCCAAAGCATATCCCCCATGATTCTAATTAGTTATGTCATTTGTTCACTAACAAGTTTCTCTGAGAGGTATCAGGCCTCCTTTGACTAGGGACACCAGGGCTAGTTCAGCCCTAGTGAGAACAAGCAAAGGGGCACCGGCCTCTGCACCTAGCAGGATCCCGAGTAAGTGAGGATCCTGCTGCAAAATCCTCTTACAGAGGTCGGGTAAGGCTTAAAGACAAGGAAGGCTACATAACCGGGGCTTCTGACTTCAAGTCAACTGGACTTTCACCATAAAGACAAGTCAAGGCTTTTGAAGGGGCCACTGTCCCGGGTTCCCCTCTTTTCTCTCCAAGAGTGGTAAATTCCGCATTCACAAATACTCTGGGGCAGGAAACTCACCTCAGAAGGCAGGTCAAAGCCTAGAGGTTCAAGCTAGGCTTGGATCCACCCTTCCACACCCGGGGGATGGGGGAGGAGGAGTGGGGGGCTACCCAGCACCTGGTGTAAACACCGCCTAACAAACACTGAAGCCCTGGGTGAGCACCCGGTCAGGTGTTTGGATCCTGAATGGCTGGTCAATATCAGGGTGTGGCCACACTCGTGCTGAGCTCCCGTGTCTTTGGGTGGAGAAAGAGGCAGGACTCTGTCCATTTAAGTTCAGCAGATAGAGTGAGAAACTTCAGGGGTTTCAGCTGTGGTTTCAGCTGACCTAGAAGAGCCAGTATTTGGTCAAAAGGCACTTGCTGTTAAATTCCCACTTCCAGATGAATTCTCTTTGCTCCCAGGGCAGATCTTCAGTAAACCAAAAGCAGGGAGTCAGGGGAAGGAGAAGCCATTTCCTCTCCTCCTCCCTGCTCTGGCTCTGTGCCCCTCATCTTTTACCGGAGTTTCTGAAATTAACCACTAGAGAAGCCTTGCACTTCTGCAGCTGTCTTGTCTAGGGATTCTTAAACTGAACATTTAGCAGGGCCGTGGTGGCGCACGCCTTTAATCCCAGCACTCGGGAGGCAGAGGCAAGCGGGTCTCTGTGAGTTCGAGGCCAGCCTGGTCTACAGAGCGAGTTCCAGGACAGCCTCCAAAACAATACAGAGAAACCCTGTCTCGAAAAACAAAACAAAACAAAAAAACAAATTGAGCATCTAACAGAGTCCCCTGGAGGCCACTTCCCAGAAATGCTGATTCAGGGGTCAGGCCCTGAGCACCTGCACTTCTGAGCGGGTGCTCGGTGATGAAGATTGTGGTTAGGAGAAATGGTTGTGGTGATGATGGGTAAGACTGGTGAGGTCCGGATGGAAGCAGAGATAGAGACGGGATTGGTGGTGGGGCGGGATGGTGATATGGCAGAGGAGGTGGTGGTACTGCGGTAGTGGTGACGGCGGTGGTAGCGGCAGTAACGGGCATGAAGCTGGTAATGTTATTATGGTAGTTTTGGGGACAACAGTGATAATGCAGCGGTAGTGACGGTGACAACAGTGGCGATATGGTAGTGAGCATGCTACTGTTGGTTGGAGCACCATGTTTGAGAAGCTCTGTTCAGCTCTTCTGCCCACCGGTTCCTTCCCACAGGAGGACAAGTGCTGGTGAGGCTGGACACTTCTCTCGTTCCGTAATCAGCTGCCTGCCTGTCCTCTCTCCTCACTAAATACTCCACTGTGGTTTCTTTTTCGTCCTCTGACCTTCTTCTTTTGAAGCAAAAATCCTGAAGAGGCTGCTACTTAGAAGTCGTAAAGTCCTGTCTCTTCCTCTTGTCCCCACGACTTCTGAAGCTGTCTACTGCCTTTCAGATTACCCAGATCCCCTAGCCTGGCATTGAAGATGCATCCACACCTACTCTCCTCCTATTTGTTCCCTGTGTCTGCCATACCTGACCACAGTTTCGTGAGCAGCATGGTCCCACCCTGAGGCTTTGCTCACGCTTGTCCCTCGTTTAGGATGATGTTCTCTGCTCACTTGTGTATCAAATAGATGCCCCCAGGCACTCTGAGCCAAGGTGGTGTCATGGACCAGAGACCAGGGCAGAGCCAAGCCTGCATCCTTGAGGAGTTCCTGCGTAAAAGAGGAGACTGTGTCTGTAATCAGTGCAGTCCTTGGAGGAAAGAACTTCTAGAAAGCTCCACTGTGTTTCCCATAAATGTGGTACATGTTTATCATAGCCCACGTGTAGCTACCCATGTGGGAACTTTACATAAATCCCTGTCCTGGGACAGTCTATCCCTTGATGAATTATGGCTGCATTGATTCTCACAGGAAACACACAGCAAGGCAAGGCAAACAGGGCCTGGTTTTGTTCCCAATTTGGAACCATAATAATTAATGGGGGGAGTCAGAATCCCACAGATTCTTGTCTAACCAGAATATAAAT